CACAACCGTTAATTGGTTAAATATTCCATTTCGACAAAGGGAAAAATGATAATGCATTTCTTATTCGATCACAATTCTACGCATCGTTGACTACTATTTATTTCATTTATTACGGCTGACCTACTAAGTTTTTCGACATATATGATATGAAATAAAACTCTGATAAACGAACGAATAAGTTTACAAGTATAAAATTTATCAAAGATGCATACAACAATTCTGATTGTAGCTTGATATGAAATCCAAATGGTCAATTAACGGAGATGTATCATGTATGTAAAACGAATGAATAATCATCCACAATTGAATATTCGTAAATACACAAACTAAATGGATTAAAACTAGATGTAAATCTCTGGACTGAAAATTACAAATCTGATATAGATTATCAATCCTCTTGACGTATTTTACTTCTAACACAGCTTTAAAAAGAATCGTGATTACTTATTTAATTAAAGAACTAAAAAGCGTATAATAAAATAACATATAGAAAGAAGATGGGTGGGTGACCGGCAGGTGAGGGAATGGCCGTTAAAGGGAGGCAGAGATTTACAGCCTGTTTTTTGTTTGTTTTCTCTTTTAATTTTTTTTATTTATTATTAAAATAAAAAAAAATATCCCAAAAAATTAAAGTGGTAACGATCAGCCTTCCGATCCCGCGATCTACTTTGTCGTTTGCGCCACGTCAGCAACTGTCTCTTTTTGGCCTATCTTTTTTTCTTTCTTTCTTATTTTTATTTATTTTAATTTTAAGATCGGCAAAATATCCAAAAAGATAATAATGATAACTATTTTGATAATAACAATAAAAAATAATACTAATAATGGCATACAGGCTGGCTTCCTCAGTCAAAAAGTCACCGAATCGAACCAAAAACCTCATACCTAACCGTTAACTTCATCCTTATCTTCATTTTCTCTCTTCTCTCCCTCTCTCTATATCATTATTAATTATTTTTGGGCTTCAGAATTTAATCTGTGTTTAGTGCATACTAGATTACTATTACAGGTGTATCAACGGTTTTAAGAAAAGGGACTAACTTAATCTGTGTTTAGTGCATACTACATTATCTTGGTGAATAACTCTGAAGCCTCATATATATATATATATTTATATGTATAAAAGTCACTGATATGCGAAGTTGCATGAAGAAGGCTTGATTTAAGACTTTAGTTATTCATGTCGATTTCATTAAAAAGAAGAAGATATTAATGCAGATTTTAGATATTTTTGTTGTACATCAATTCGTTAGGTTTTTCTCTTTCTTTCTGCCAATTACACTTTTGTGGAAAAAGAAGAACAAAGTTGCGCATCTTGAAAAGTTTGCTTGACTGTATATCCCATACGCGCAATACCGGCATGTACCCTTCGATTTCTGTTAAAATTTTAGCGGTATACCGGTTTAACTTGTTTTTTGGGTTGAGAAACCGATTTCAAAATATATTTTTTTGTTGAGGAATTTGAAAGTAACAAAATGTGTCAGTAAAAAGTAATATCTAGATGTTGTCAAAAAAAAAAAAAGTAATATCTAGATTCCACTTATTTTATTCTTCTATTACAAGGATCTCTTATTTACAAGGAGTATAATGATACTTTCAAACTATTAACGTTTTCATGCTTTTTTTTGGTTTAAACTACTAACGTTTTTTGTTTGTTTGTTTGTTCAACAGTCGATTTTTGCTTGTTTGAAGAACAGTGCTCAACACTCGTTGCATGTTAAAGATGAAGTATAAACAATCGTAAAACCTTAGTTACAAAAAAAAATCGTAACTATTATATCTAGTCGTTGCATGTAGCAAGAATTTGTTGTGATAGTGTCTACAACACAATGTACATGTTTAGCATAATTTGATACTGGACCAACGGTCCAACGTATATAATAACCACATATATCAACACAGAACACAAGACAGTGACATGCAACGAACAGTGTAAAATATTGAAATCAAATCACAACACTTTAGTTTACAAACAAAACAAAATTAACTTTCGGCTATATTTTATTGACTTGTATGTAGTCTTTTTTTTGTTTGCACTTATTTTTAAAAGCAACTAGATTCTAACCCTGTGTATGTGCATGGGAATATTTTTTTATTGTTTAACGAATTTTGTAATATAATTTGAGTTTTTGAGTTTATATATAATTATTTTTATAAATATATTTTTTAATAAGTGAAAATATTGAGTTTTGTGTTTAGATATATTTTTCTAGTATTAAAATTAATTATGATTATAAAAATATAATTTTGACCCGTCCGCTAATATTAATTCAAAATAAACTATTATAAAAACATAATATAAACTTTTCCGTTCATATTACCGTATAATATAAATATTTGTTAAAAGTTTGAGATGTATTAACAATATTATTTAGCATTATAGTTTTCTAAAATTTAATCAACGAAGGGAGTGTACAACTGGTTTTTCAAACCACATTATAGTCTATTCAATAATTTTTAATTTTTTTATGTTTTGATTTTGTATGAAAAATATATTTTCGATATACATGTATAATTCAAAATTAGTGATTTTAGTTACCAAAATATTTTTAACCTGGTTTTTTATATATATTTTTAGTTCTATGAATTTTAAAAAATATATTTTTAATATTTAAATTATACATTTGCCTATTATTTTATTATTAATTTGTAAATAAATCATAATCGTAAATATATTATATAAGCAACATAAATATTATATTATTTACATCATTATAAATATTTTATATTTCAAATATGACCATTATTTTTTATATGTGAATTATTATTTTTCAAAAATTCTAGATATTTTTGATAAAAAATGTTTAATAGTATAAAAATTATTTAAATTAGAATCTTTAAATCAAATCTAAATTAATATCTGATTTATTATTTTTAATCAAATCAAATCGAATCTAAATTACCTATATTTAATGAATTCTAAAAATATTTAAATTCATAACTAATTTTCGAAATTAAATATAAATAATTTATTAAAATTATTTTTAAAAACTTAAAAAAATTAGGAGTGTTTAAAAACAAGTACTAAATGTGCTTATGTTTTAATATAATAGATGTGTGTTTGCCAGCATATTCTCATATTCTTTGTTTATTAGTCTTTTACCAATTTATCAAGTTGATATACACACTGAAAATTCAGTGCTCTAGATAAAATGCTATTCCTGAATTTATATTCTTCAAGAATTTTGTTAAAATTAACTCTATTTTTTTCCTTCATCAAAGTTAACAAATTTGACAAAAGAGAATGATAAAAGAATTTTTTTTTTTTCTGCCTTTGAGCGGCATCTTTCTTTTCTTCCCTCTCTCTCTCTCGAGCTTTTTCCCGGCGACTCTTCTCCCTCTCCGGGCGATTTTCTTTCCCCGGAGAAGGACCCCTCTTTCTCTTGTTTTTTCTTTTTCTTTTATGGCTTGTGCTTCTTCGACGGTTTTGTGCTCTTCTTTCCCAAGTTGGTGGCGGATCTGAGTTTCTGGGAGAGGCTACGGCAGCTCTGTTGTAGATCGACGGTGGTGGTGCCAGTGAGGATCCCAGATCTGATGAGGACAAGATCGGGTGATGCCTCCTCAGGCTCCGCTCCTTCCTTTCTCGACTTTGCTCTCCTTCTAGTCTTTTCAGGGTGCTCCCGGCAGCTTTTTCGTTGGCTGTTGTAGGAGGAGGTGGCGTTTGATGCGACAGATAGTGTTTCAAAGCTTGTCCTTCCGAGATCTCACGAGTAAGACTGTTTGTTTGAGGACGCAGACGGGTTCGTGAAAGGAGATCTCCAAGGGTGGCTGTCTTTTGGCTTTCTTCGGATCGGTACTTATTCATATTTTAGGTGTCTGCTCTTCTCTTCGGCTTTTTTTGCAAGGTTGGTGGCTTTTCCAGATCCAGTTCCAGGTCTTTCCGGCGACTCGTTTCTCGACGGCAGATGTGGCGACGGCTGCTGCTGTAGGGTCGTTTTCGTTTAGGGTTTTCGTGTTTCCGGTTTAATCCGGTTTATAGCTTCTTGGTTTAGTTGTTTACTTAACCATTTCCGTTGGGCTTTTGGGCCTGTTTTTTTATGTTTGTAATTTTTTTAATATTTATTCAAGAAAATTCTTTAACAAAAAAAAATTTTTTTTTTGAGTATCACATTAGATGGAAAACGAAATGATTGGGTAAAAACGCTCCACCTGTAGAACGGAGAGTGGAACAGACGCTCCAGTACCAGCGTACTCTATGAAGAAAGAAATCTCTGAAAAAAAAAGAGCACAAAAATAATAGTAATATTATTTATTAATGAATAAAAAGCAAATCTCAAACTCAAAGTACATATACTTACTTGACACGTGTTCAATAACAGCTGTATCCCAAGTCCCCAACCGTTTTTCCTGGAAGATTCTCTGCTCTCCACGCTCGATGTTAACCTCACACAGACGCTGTTCACCCAAACGCTCTTTCTAATCGCGGACGTGTTCTTTTTTGTAAATTAGAATATCTGTAATTATACAAAAAGCAATCTTCAAGGTTTGTAGACCAAATTTATGAACACATAACATGATAGACCTTTCCATGTAATATATATTTGGCAATCTTCGTTTTTAAATATTAAATCTTTGATTGCCGTAACTAAAAAATGAAATATTCGATTGATGAAGTTATACTGAATGACTTACCTAAACAATTAATCAATCAAAACGTTTAAATTAGTTAATCCATTTTTGGACTGAATTAGTCAAAACCGTAACAAGTATGTTAGTAACGACCATATTTATCCGTTTAACCCTGATAAATTTCCTTTATTTATAGAAAAAACGGTTTCTTTGTTTGTCTAATAAGTTAGATAATTTATGCCAGTTGAAACAATATTCGAAAGATTACACATATCCTAGTAAATAACTGAAGGCTTTCAACTACTTTAATATATATTTTTTTCGGTTGATTGATAAGAAAGATTACCGGTTGAAGCGGTAACCCTTTGCGCCACTCCTTCTCGTATAAATATTCTCTCTTCTTGCTCTTATCCTCTTAAAAACCTTTTCTTCTCCCAACAACAACAACCAAAAAAAAAAAAACTCCTAACGACCAAAAAATAAAGAAAACAGAGGACGCGTGAGAAAAAAAAACAGAACAAATCCGGTAAAAAGATCCGGCGATGTCAGGCCCGACCCGAAAGAATATGGAGCGGATTAAAGGTCCATGGAGTCCAGAGGAAGACGATCTACTACAGAGGCTGGTGCAGAAGCACGGTCCGAGAAACTGGTCTTTGATCAGCAAATCTATCCCTGGACGCTCCGGCAAATCTTGCCGTCTCCGGTGGTGTAACCAGCTATCTCCGGAGGTCGAACACCGTGCTTTTTCGCCGGAGGAAGACGAGACGATTATTAGAGCGCACGCTAGGTTCGGTAACAAGTGGGCAACCATCTCTCGTCTCCTCAATGGACGAACCGACAACGCAATCAAGAACCATTGGAACTCGACGCTCAAGCGAAAATGCAGCGCCGTTGCATCTGACGGTGATTTCGGTGGAAACGGAGGGTATGATGGTAATTTAGGAGAGGAGCAACCGCTGAAACGTACGGCGAGTGGTGGTGGTGGTGTGTCTACTGGGTTGTATATGAGCCCGGGGAGTCCGTCGGGATCTGACGTCAGCGAGCAATCAAGTGGTGGCCCACACGTGTTTAAACCGACGGTTAGATCTGGTGCTATGGCGGAGGTGACGGCGTCGTCTTCCGGTGGAGATCCGCCGACGTATCTAAGCTTGTCTCTTCCTTGGAATAACCGTTGCGAGACGGAGACGGTTAGAGTCAACGAGTCAACTCAACTAAACGAGAATATGGTTACTGACGGTGGTTACACGGCGGAGCTGTTTCCGGTGAGAAAGGAAGAGGAAGAAGAAGAGAGAGGGATATCGGGATTTGGTGGTGAGTTCATGACGGTGGTTCAAGAGATGATTAGAACGGAGGTAAGGAGTTACATGGCGGATATACAGCGAGGAAACGTTGGCGGTGGTTCCGGTGGAGGAGGAGGCGGTGGTTCGTGTATGCCGCAAAGTGTAAACAGCCGTCGTGTCGGGTTTAGAGAGTTTATAGTGAACCAAATCGGTGGGAAGATCGAGTAGTAGTAATAAAGAGAGAGAGTGAAGAAAAGAGAAGTCTTTCAAATTTTCCCTCTGTTTCTCGGGAAAATAAAAGTTATAGGCTTTCATGTATAAAGCCAGCCAGTGATGGTTAGAGAGACGACGGAGGGAGCAAATCAAAAAATCTTTTGTAATCATATGATCTTTCTTGATTCACATTAAAAGGAAGCAAGAACATTAAAAATCATACAAATGATGATGAAAAGTCGAAAACATTCCTAAACTTGTTGCAGTTACCATGGGTTTGTTACGAGGAAGCAAAAACACAACCAAAAGGAGTAAATATAATCACGTGACCCAGATGAAGAAACCAGTCGAAACGAAACATATATACGATTGATGTTACATAAGGGAATCATACATACACAGTTTCATGCTTCTGCAGAATTATACAAAGCACACAAAATAAAAAGTTACCTAATGTGCAGGCTCCACAGAGCTCAAACTGTTGTTGCTACTGGTGGACTCTCGTGAGCTTAACTTGTTGATTAGATGAGCTATGTCTTGTTTCCACGACCATGATGGATCGTTCAGACCACGTACTGAGTTGAGGCACACGAGAAGAGTCCCGCCTTCATGTAAAAGTACCTATGATCAATCTCGCAAAAATAGCGGATTAAAGGTCTTTTCTCGGTGATTGGATTGGTAAATGATGGAAAACAAAGCTTCTAGAGGGGGTATTAGTCTCCATACCGTCAACCACAATGGAAGAAACCCTAAAACTGAGGGAAGAGCGGCCAAGAATATCGATGTCAATGCAAGAGCCACATTTTGCTTTACCTGCAACATGGTACACACTCGTTAAGTCTGTAATCTTCACATCTGAATTGGCTTTAGAAAAAACTTCTTTTATTTATTTACCAGTGATGTTGTCTGGCGGGATTTAGCTACACAGAAGGGAACACCGGTGATGTTGTCCCGAAGCAGTAAGATGTCGGCAACAGCAATTGCCGTGGCACTCGCTCGTTGAGCAAGAACAATCCCGACTGTTGCAGCTGCTAGGGCTGGAGCATCATTAATCCCTTCGCCTACCATGATTAAACCTCCACCTAACAATAATCATCAAACTCTAAATTATAAAGCCCATTGAGAGATGTCTTTGAGTGTTGACTTATGGCGAGAGTAATGATCACCTGCATCTCGAGCGATGTTCTTTACATGGTTTAGCTTATCCTCTGGCTTTAAATTACAGTACACTTCAGTAATACCCACTGCGTTTGCAACTCTCCAAGCACTTGAATCATGGTCCCCGGTTAACATCATTACTCGGAGTCGGCCCCAGCTTTTAAGTTCTGCTATAACTCCTGATACACCTGGACGAGGCTGATCTTCGAGGTGAATCAATGTTACCTGGAAAAAGTTGGTAGCAAGGCTTATAAATTTCAGTGATACAGAGGTTTTTATGGACTAATAAATGGTCTGACGAGAGAGAAATTAGTGACTGTCAACAAAGAAAGAATTTTTAAGACCACCAAAAAAATTGGCTGTTGCCATATACCTTTTGATCAACAGAAAGAGCGGCATGAACAAATTCATTTCCGTACAAAGAGGCGTTTACAGCATCCTTAATCTGTTTCGAATCATCTTCTGATTTAAAGAGCGAGGTAATGAACTCTATAGAACCAAGTGATGCTTTGCGTAATCTACTCTCTTCAGCTACTGACTATTACAAAGCCAAAAAAATTGAAGAGAAAGTGAGAGTCTGAAATATTCACACATCACACACATTACAAGAACTAAAAGGAAAATGAAAATCTATACCTCAACACCATTTACAGTAGCAGTAAGGCCTCTACCAGGAAAATATTCGAAGCTTTCAACAAAAATAGAAGGGAGGTCCTTTCCCACACTGTGGTCTACCACAGCTCTGCAGAAGTTCAAATGTGTCAGGCAGACACAGCAGAAAACAAATACTCTTTACATCTTACAAGTATCATTTATGGGGAAAAAACAGTTTATAAACAGAAAACTTCATGGTGCTAAAAGTTGCCTTATGCCCCTTCATCTCATCCGTTTGTGGTGATGGAAAAGTTAATAAATTTTCTAGATGTAGGACTATAAATGTTTTACATCAACAAATTACCCAAAATGATTGTAGCATCCAACAATATTATGTAATAACCATGAGTTATATACAATGTGCCCCATTCTAATTTTTTTTTTTGGGGGGCGGGGGGTTAATATCTATCCTACACTTGAAATTTTGTAATGTAAATGATTGGAGGCAAATGCTGGACAAATTGCATTGTTCTAAAATTTGAGATAACTAAGTTGTATACAGTAATTGATGCTTAACAAGCAATACCTTCCAATAGGATGCGTGGTGCCCTTCTCCATCGCAGCCGCTACGGCAAGAGCTTCTTTTTCACAATTTGGAACGCAGCAAGTTGTTACACTTAAATTACTACCTCCTTGGTGCCCATAAATGGGTTCAATTGCTTTGCAAGTAAGGCCGCCGGTCGTTAAGGTCCCGGTTTTGTCAAAAGCAACCGTATGGCAAGAAGCGAGAGCATCTAGAACCTGTGTACCTTTCAGCAATATTCCCTATAAAAGAGCAGAACTGTGGGATTACACACTTACAAGTGAAGATACAGTAGTTGCATAGCGGAAGAAAAAAAAAAGAAAAAGACAATAAACTTCATGTTTCAACTGGATTTTGGAACAAATGGGAACAAATAGTTGCATATGCATTGTAAAGCCCTCACAATTGCACATACGACTCTTTACGTTCTCAAGCAGTGAGCTTAATTTTCTACAACAGAACGGATACAAACAAATGCTCAAACTGCAGCAGACCACGAGGCAAGAACAGCAAGAAAGCTAACACGTAGTAGGTAATTTCAGTAAATTAGGCTGTAACTACAGAGTACTAGCATGATACCTTTTTTGCACAGGAACTAATAGCAGTAGCATAAGCCAATGGAGCAACAGCCAAAGCACATGGTGATGCAGCCACCATAAGTCCCAATGCTCTGTAGACAGATCCTCTGCATGCTATATCATTAAGAAGAAAAGAAAGTAAGCCAACCAATTTCCCATACCAAGATCGCTCTTACCAACTTTCTAAATGGTGATATATCTTATTAGCGAACAAGAATAGTTTGTTACATCAAAAAGGATTTACAGTCTGCAATATAACAGGTAATATTAAAAAGCGAGAACTTGTTTCTGACATCTACCTGTGGTGCTGAGAAAAGGCCACTTGAACAAAAATGGACCTAGGAAGGCAATAGCAAGTGACAAAAGAACCACCACCTTGCTGTAATTCTCCCCAAACTCATCCAGCCATTTCTGAAGTTTGGGTTTATTAGAGTGTGCTTCCTCGGTCAGCTGTACAATCCTGTTAAGCGTCGACTCATTCCATGCCTTCGTAGCCTGATTTAAAAATTCCATAGAAGAAAGATAACCTTATGAACTTCAAATTAAGGCATACCAAAGCAGTATGCATATGATTAAAATACCTTCACAATCATTCTGCCATCCAAATTTCTTGCACCGCCAGGCACTCTATCTCCAGCTTTTGCCTCCAATGGCTTTATTTCCCCAGTCAAGTGCTCAATTGTTATGGTAGCACTACCTTGGTAGACTTCGCAATCTACAGGAACAATCTACATACAAAAAAATAATCCATTACTTAACAGCTGCGATTGTAATACCGCTAAAACTATAGTAATGACATACAATGTAACATATATAAGGATTTTGAGAAATGGAAGCAACTAGATAAGCTTCACAGACCTCACCAGTTCCAACCAAAATATAGGATCCAACTTCTACACTGTGCACAGGAACGCTTTTGTATGATAAATCAGAAATGTTTGGAACATTTCCATTTTTCACTTCTATCAACAGCGCAGAATCCGGATTACTCTCCTTCAACTCTTTAACATCCACCATTGACCGACTAGTGAAGAACTCCTCCGCTGCAGAACAACAACAAGACAAAGGCTCAAACCTATCAGCGTCATAAACGCATTATCAAAGCCATATCCCTAATCCTAGAAAAAATTCAAGTTCTGACCGATATGAGCAAGATTGAACATGGCTAGAAGCAATCCTCCTTCCAGAGCGTTGCCCATGAACACGGATGCAAAAGCAGCAAGTGCCATCAAGACATGGATGTTCACTTTTCCTCCAGCTAAATCCATAAGTGCGTCGAGAGATGCTGAAACCTAACACACACCCCCATGGAACCAAATTCCTTAATCGTCTAGCTTTATTTATATACTAGCAAAGAGCTTGCAGAGAGGCAATAGAATCCTTACTCCAACAAGAGGGAAACCAACAATCATGAATGCGTTCTGAAGAGACTTAATGTAAGGTTTAGGAGCAAAGTAAGGGCACGCGGCGGCAGCGAGGAACAGTGCGGCGGAGGAGCAGCAAAGATGGAGATGCTCCCTGAGGAAATTGGCCAACCGAACCCATCCGATGGCTTTAGCGAACCCGAACAATAGCTTCTGAGACTTACTTTCCGCTTTCAATTCCACAGAAGAGCAGCCGTGTTGGTGGTGATGATGATGGTGATGATGATCTTGTACGGAATCATGATGATGATCGTGATGGTGATCTTCGAGTGCACGTAGACGAATCGACCTTCGCGGAAGACTAAGGGAGGAAGAGATACGAAGAGGGAGAGGTTTTCGGCGGAGAAGAGTCTTAGGTAGAAGAGTTGAGAACGAGTTGACTCGAGAGAATCGGAGAGTAGCTAATCCGCCACGGTAAGGGAATCTAGCAAGAGAAGAAGAACGAGTAAGAACGGCGGGTTCCATAATCGACGAATTTGAGCTCGAGCGTCTTCTTTCATGCCACCATTGATTCTGATCTCGCGAAATGTGTATTTAGCGTCGTCTTGTTTCAGAGTCAGAGGTGAAAACGAAGAATAACAGAGAGAGTGTGAGAGGGAGCCAATATAATTATTCCGATAACATTAGCCACATAAATCATCTCATCTCACAGACAGATTTATTTTATCTTTTTGTTCGTTCAAAGTAAAAGTTTTTTTTTAACTGAACACCAAAAAAAAAAATGAACCAAATCATTAGCTTCATAAGACCTGTAAAACTTTTTTATATTCAGCTACAAATCTCAGAAAATTACCTTACAACTATGAATTCATCAGAAAAATGAAGGAATTTTTAAAATTACAACAATTCGTCAGTGATTGTACGGACAAATTTCTGGAGCTGGCTTTGTTCTCTCAGTCATCTTTGCCTTTGCCTTTACCATCTGAAACCTTATCAGATTCATATGCTGATGATAACAAGAAATTGCTCTGATTCTTTTGAAGGAACCTGTCAAGGTTTTAAGAGCAATTGTGAATTTAACCGCTAAACCGAGAAATCAATAATGGTAGTGAAAAGAAGAGATTAGAAATGATACTTGAGGAAGTCTAATAGTGTTTGTTGCATGCGAGTCCATGTTTCTTCTTCCATGTTTACATATGAAAAAAGCTCAGGAAACTTCACTGCACCGTGGGAAAAAGAAAAAAAAAAAAGGCCACAATATAGTCAAGAATTGAGAACATCAAAATTTTTACTGTCTGAATAAGAACTAAATGAGATTTTACCAAAGAGACGAAGCAAATGCTCGGCGCCATAAACAGTTGAAGGTGAAACATCATCCACGATTGCTTCTTGGTATTGTCGCCGCTCTTTCTTATATAAGAGCATCACAGGTAATGCCTTGTCGAAATAACACCTTATCCCTTTCAAGATTTCACCTACCGAATCATTTATCCTGTACAGCACACAGCTTTGCTTCATTTGATTTTTCGAAGATATTAAACTACATCAATCAAACTATGTGTTTGAATAAAGGACTCACATTCCATCCTTCTTGGTTCTGAGTTCAAGGTACTTGGACAATATGTCATCGACATTAGGTGAACGCGGAAGTTTTACAACCTAGATACATAATCATTAATTATACAAAATACACACTAATGTCTTTCAAGTATAAAGTTGATTCTATCAATTATAATCGTGGCAAAAGTATGAGCAGAATAGAGTAGATTGACGATACCTTGTCCTTCTGCGTAATATTCTCCCAGTCGTCAATGAGCTGTTTTTTTAGTGTTGCAGGAATTTGTATCTTGAGTAGCTTCTCTGCTGATACGTTATCCTTCTACAGATCAAAAAAGCATACACAAGCAACCTTATGGATTTAGAAGATCTGAAAGTTGACCCTGTTTGTATATATGCATCACGAAACATCAGTGTTATAACGAAAAGTCGTCCTAACAGATATGTACAAGCTTCTGGTAATTTTAACGATGTGGAGCTAAAGCAAGTACATCTCTAAGTAATTTACAAGCCTGACCTCATTGCCTGACTCGTTCTTTCGCTTTTTCCCTTTTGCAGCTGCAACAGACAGGATTATCAAACTATACACCAGCTTAACTCAGATAAACTTAAGTAAATGACTTCCTTGGAAGTTGTGAGGAGAACTTTGACTTCCAAAGTGAGCTAAAAAATAATAAGCTGCTTACCATTATTTTTCGTGTCATCTTTCTCAGCCTTTGTGTCTGCAAGACCAGAAACATGTTTGAAAAAATAGTAAAAGTTAGCATAGATGGCCAAAAATGCATTGTGTATTCTCAAAAGGGTCAGCGTGGGAGGATAAATGATCAACTCAGTGTATGTACACGCAGGCCTCTGAGCCAGATAATGGTAATATTAATAGGCTATCCTGATAAGGATTCTTCTATAAACCATCGACAAAGTCAAGCCAGCAGATATAAGAGTTTCCTCTTAGTTTTATATTAACAACACACAAACACTAAATACCGTATTGGGTGGTAAACGGACCTGCAGAGCTTCTAGTTTTTGTCTGAGCTGAACGCCCAGATTTGGTACCCTTTTCCACTCCTTGCTTTTTGTCTAGAGCTTTCTGTTTTACAAGATTCTCCTCGGTATGTTTCAACAATCTATCCGCGCTAACCCATTCATCCCAACTGTTTGGCAAGACATTCATTTCATGGGTACCAATCTACTGATTTTGCTACATAAACCAGAATAGACATGAGAGCAGAGAGATACTCACTTTTTGTTCCAACCCTGCAGACACAGATCGCTGTATCACTTAATACTGCGAATCAAATAGCTAGACTTGCAGTAAATCAAACACGGGAATGAAACTATAGTAGCTCAGAGGAAAGAGGTCTCACGAGATAATGGACAAAGTACTTCCACTCCTTTTTGCGAAGCTCGACTTTTTGAACCTGTAATGGAATGTGAACATATTATATCAGGCCTGGTCACACTTTTTCTCTTAAAATTGCAGTGTTTCTGAAAAATTGCTTTGAAGATTTGGCGTAGCAAGGAAACAAATTTTCAAAGTGAAATCAATTCAATCCAATGGCATAGTGATGAGTGTGTATATAGTTGAAAAAGCTAAACAAATCAATTTTCCTTGTGATCATATTTCTTAATTTTTCTGGGGAGTTCAATCTCTGCTCCAACGAACGTAAATTTTCCTTATGCATCTAGCCATCTACTGTTTCGGCTAAGCATTTCCGGTCATTCCAGTCTTAGATCGCAAAAGCTGCATGGATTCAGTACCGAATTCAAAGTAAAGCCCAGATGACTCAATTCTAGGATCGTCTTAGTTTCGATAGCGAATTTACCAAGAAACTCCTAAGCAAAATCTAGCAGAGAAATCCCAATTCCAATTTCAATAATCCAAATTACGTGAAATTCAAAAATTGCAAAATCTCCAGAATCCAAATTCTGCGAGTGTCCGACGGAACACAGAGAAAGACTAGATAGAGAGAGAGAGTTTTTTGCCTTGGCTCCATAGACGCGAGGACCGTGGTAGGCGAGAACACGCTCGCCCTCGGAGAAGAGTCTGCCGTCGTTGGACGGAGATGCGCCACCACTGGCAGTGTCTCCGTCACTCGCCGTCTCTTCCTTCGACGAGCTTCCCATTGCCACCGAGAGAGCGAGAGGCAAAGATCTCACATAATAATGGGGCCGTACACGTCTAGATATGAATCTACGGCTAAAACTGTTGAATCCGCGAGATTAAGACTGATATTGTAATTATTTAAGTTTTCATTTGACTCCCTCAACTTTTAACTCTCTTAACTTTTTGGAATATAGTTGTCGCCTATATGCAAAGCAATGACTTCTATTTTTTGATGGTCGAACAGTACCATCATAATTTGAAAAAATATAATCATATTCACTTTGTTTATTATTATTACATTCAATCACATGGACCAGAGGTCCAGAACCGAAGTTATTATCACATTGTACATTATCAAATAAAATTAAATAACTATCAAACGATAACCATATGGGGAAAAATGAGACATCGATTCTTGATTTTCCCATTCTTCTTCCAGTGTAGTTTGTGTATATTTTCGACTAATAGTGAAACCAAAAAAAAAATGAAATAATTTTTTTTTGACCTAGACGAGGATGGGCACTTCAACCGGCCCGGTTTGAAATAAAATATTGAAAAATTAGTGACCGGGTCCGCTTGGGCTTGGACCGGAGTGTTTATCAAATCGAAACGTATCGCTCCGGTCTACGAACTTATGACCTTTGCCTGGACTCGGACCTGAGCCTTTGATCGAACCAAGTGATAAGCCATCGAAGAAATTAGCCACGAGCTTCTTCTCTTCGTTCTTTGTTAGACCAAGTGGACGAGTCTCAACAAGAATCGAACCGATCAACATGAAGAAAAGAATCGAACCCAGAACGGCTTTGTTCATCATCCTAATTTGAGAAGAATTTGACTCAATGTTTATATTTTTTTACTCTTTACCAGATGAGGAAAGTTGGTGTAGTATTTTGTGGATTTAGTTTTTGATTATATAGTAGTGTTCAAGGAGATGCAAAGTTTGAATTTTTATTCTTGACTAAGTTTTGAATTCAAAAGAACGTGATAACTGAAAGTAGGCTGCTTCCTGGCAAAATCCCAACGGGTTTATTGAGCGTTCAGTTTTGTGTGCAGTGTGTATATATCTGAAAACAAAAAAAAAAATTAAAGCCATCAATGAGGAAATGATATTTAAAAGGATTTTAGTGTTAACCGAACATAATACCGTGGTTGTCGCAGACGGCAGCTAAATTTTGAAGTAGATTTGTAGTTGTAGACCAAACATAGTTTGAATGTCAAACTTGGGAAAGTATATGAAGTCACACATATTGGTAGCCGGTTTGCTTGTTGGTTTTAGTAAATTTATCAATTATATGAAGTTTGGTTCGACTTTATTTCTTTTGTTTTATCATAAATAAAATGTATCTCACTAGCTTTGCTTTCGTTTTGGCTATTTTATTTCCCTGAACAGAATTTAAAATTAAATAACCTGAATCAAAATTTCAGTTTTGTTTTGGAATAGGGTTTTTTCTGTTTCGGTTAAACCAGCTGATTTGGACTCTAAAGCCGGAGTGACATAAGCTTTGTTTGACTATTAAATCGGATTCCATATACAGTACTTGTTGAAATGCTGTTTAATAATATTTAGATACACCAAACCTCATGATCAATGCTTCTAAAGTTCAAACACTTGGCTGCTATTTTTCTTGGCACGACCAAAAAATCGTCTCTCACGTGGTTCTTCTTTGAAAAAAAATAAACAACCACACTGTACTAAAAACCCAACATCTATATTTATGTTTTTGTTAGGTAGGAATTTATCCTATGAAAAGACAAACATTGGTATAGTTTTGTCAACTCTTGCTGCTATATGGTGTTGAATTACGATGTAATTATTACGATACAAATCTATGATGTGTTTTCTTCATTTCAATTTTATTACTGTTTTCAAAATTGAGTTGTAACGTTTTTTTTTCCAGAAGAAGGTCGAGTTTGTTTTTGAGAATAAACTATTGATGGCGATAAAAAATTTTTAGTGATATTTTGTATTTAAATAAAGTGTAATATCATCTCAAATTATTCCTTTTTATAACAAATATGTTCCTTTATTTCCGCAGTTAGAGTAAGACAAAGAAACCAATTTGCAGATCATCAGGCAATTGTGTCCCATATTAAATGAGGCGAAATCACTATCATTCAAATTATTAAATATATTTATAGCAAATGCCGTATTTTTGTAATATAAATTTACATAAAAAATTACCTAGAACCTGGTCCACTGTTTCCTCTCTTGGAATAAAGTGAAAGAAATTAATCAATTTTGGTTTGGCCAAAATACTATAGTTTCTTTGGGGCGTAAGACCACACCAGAATATAATAAGAAGAAAAAAATGTTAACTATATATAGTTCGGACATGGTCATCCATTAATATTGGAATCAAATTCTGCATTAATAAATTCATTATCTATATTCTAGTCTTTTCTATTCCGTCCAATTACACGAAATATATATATTTTAAAAATTCCGATAACTGGCATAGCAAATCTAAACTTAAAAAGTTGCCATGCAATTATGCATTTATCTAACATACATATGCTGATATCTATCACAGGAAATATTATTTCTTTACTAATCCTCTATATTTGTATTAGGCTAGGTACATCAACCAATCCAAACGTCTATTTGAATCCAACCGCCGTGACGTGCGTTGTAAATTGCATACAAGCTTCAAATGAAATATATTTTTAATTGACACATTTTATGAGCAAATATTGGGATAGATACTCTGATAAAACTATTTCTGAAAATGTACTTTATATAAGAGTTTATGGATTGTACATGTACTAAAATACTAACCACGGTTAAATAAAATAGTGTCTTTCGATCACAATAGCAAGAAAACATGTTAAATTATAATAGTACGTGTCTTGAATATTGATGTTGCGATAGTTTACACATGGTTCGTCCATTCTCACTATATCCATATATGAACATAAGCTAAGAGAGACTTTAGTTCTTCCAAAACTTGATTATAAAAAAAAAAATAAAGAAAGGAAACATAGATTCGAAGATGCAAGGTTGATAATGAAATAAAATTGAAGGAACATGTGGGGGAAGTGACGTTTAAAAACAAAAAGGAAAAGAGAAAGAAGATAGATAGATGCTTATTTATTATCATGACAACTATGAAGCAAAGTTAGAGTCCGTCCATGCAAGTATTTTGTGTGTGTACCACCGAATTTGTCTGTCTATGTTATCGCCCTTCTTTTCTCAAATCCACGAGCCACGATGACAATTATGTTTTGTTCCTTTTTAATTTCTTGATTTATATTATTTATATTTCTACCTGAATTATGGTTCGTATTTATAGTGAATTATGTTTCAAACATTAGGTGAACTATAAATCATATTTGTCTGTATATGTATATATATAATTTACCATTTTAACTGTAGAAAAATCATCAATTTTTGACTAACAAAATAAAACAATCATAAAAACTAATGTTGATTTATATACAAGGGAAACGTACTTCTATGCAAAACAAGTCTCGAGGATTCGTATGGTCAAATTTATTCCGATCAATTATTCGCGATAGTGTGAGATAAAATACGTACTTTATTTCCCTTGCATCCTCCTACGTCACATCTACGCATTCGTGCCCTACCTTCATAAGTACTCTTCCTATTTCTTAAGTTCGAAATTGAGTCGATGACCCACGACCGTAGATTTGTAATCAATATGATTTGTTATGACTTATGAGTGAACCTTTGCTCAAATTTTATCGACAACTTTTGTTCGATACCAATTCAAAATGATATAAAAATAAAATCAAATAGTTGTATAAGTCTAGTTGTTTCATTTGGTTCACTTTATACCTCGTTTGGCTATTGCGAAATTTACATAGTGATTACTAACCTCCTAAATGTTTAGATCATGAAACCATGTTATCCAAAATAATGATAGTAGTTTATTTTTTGCCTAACTCCACTAATAAAAGTTAATAATTTTTTAAATTACCAACTACTACTTGAATTTTGATTCGGGAGATTGATTCGTTGGAATCTCGTGTATATTAAGCAATAAAAAAATCTCACTACTTATTTATTATTACTGGCATATCTTAATATTCTGACTTAATTTTTCATATTCACATCTCAAGGCAGAAAAACAAGAATCGATTTTTTCAATGTAGACTTTTAGAGCCACTAAATTGTAATTACTATTACAAATAAATAATAAAAATTAGCTAGTCTGTGAAAAAAAAAATTAGTTTGGTCAAAAAACTATTAGCACTTTTTAAAAGGTGCACTTCCAAAGGAAGCTAGAGACCGTCCTTTTTCACTAATTCGCCTGCACCATCCCCTTGTATCGAGGGTCTAATTCTACACCTTATTCCATTTTATATTCCCTAACAAAATTAATAATATTCTATTTCTAATTGAAATACCTATCATCCTTCCTCTCCATCCTTTTTCATCTACCTTTGAATCTTTTCATATTTGTATATAAAGCTTTACTTCCTCCTCTACTACTCTTTTTCTATCAATCACCAAAACACATTCATTGTCTTAAACCCCTAAACCCCAAGAATCCGAACTACCACAATAAAAAAATGAGACCATTTGGCTTGATTTTTACGGTCATGTTCTTGGTCTCGGCCTTTTCAGAATCAAGAACCGCAGATTGCAGAGTTCTCCTTGGTGGCTCATCGGAGAAAATAGATCAATCTAAAAAATATGGGGTTGATTTGCGAAGTAAAGAAATATTAGGGGTTGTGATACGTGGTTACAAAAGGTTGCGGTCGCTCTCTGCGGCTGGAGAGAGGATGCACACAATGGCTTCGGGACCGAGTAGGAGAGGTGCTGGTCACTAAAAACGACTAACTCACTTACATACATTATTTCTATACTTCCAATAATTTTTTTTTAGCTCAGGTTATAGTAATATATTTTCATTTGTTATAGATTATTATATTTATTCAGTCGTTAAAGATCAATGTAAAGTTTAGAAGGGAGAAATTCTTTAACCATACAATAGTCGGTTTCCTTCTAATAAACACCCATATATAGTACGCGCCAATAAATTGATTGTGTATTACTGATTGAATTTTAAAAATATGTAGTTTTCAGATCCACATTAACCGTGTAAATTTGACATGAATGAGTTATATATATTCTGGAGATGTTTTGGCCATCATGGTGCAATACAAATGATACAACCCAAAATGCGATTATCTTATAAAGAATACATCGATATTATTTCATGTTTTACCACATAGATGGAATGGAAATGGAATTAAATTGGGTCGCAATTCATGATTCAGTTTTGATGAGATGCAAACCTTTTTTTCGGGAGATGCAATTTTTTATTTTTTTGGTTAATATTGCAGACGTATATATTTTTAGCACGTCTTATTTGTAGTTCGAAAATGGAATTAATATTGGTCGCAATCCATGATTCAGTTTTGATGAGATGCAAACATTTTTTGTTCGAAGTGTTGGCCTTTGGGGGTATTAAAAGGACACTTAATTTATTGTCGTTTTATGGGAGCCGGGAAATGGGAAGCTTCAAATTTACACTTATGTTCTGAACAGAGCCACACTTTCGACGATTATTAAATTGCCATTCATATTTCAAAATTCGTATTCCCTAAAAAATCAGGTAATTACTTCGGTATATCTACGATGAGATATGAAAACTCTTTTACAAAAAAAATATCTACAATACAGATAAAATAAAATTATTCGTTTAAGTTTTTTGAGTTTTTGTTTACTTATTGGGATGAAAATAATTGCTATGAAAAATTGACATAACAATAAAAAAAATTTGGTTACGTAGTTATTTTGTCTTAACTGGAACGGTAGTGAGAAAGTTAAACAAAAAGGCCCATTAAAAGCCCAACTACGTGTCGACAAAAAGAAAGCCCAATTATGTTTTCTTTGTACAGAACCCAAACACCTGTGAGCAAAATCTGTTATCTTCTGCTGTTTTTGTTGTAGTTGTAAAGCCAAAGGCAGAGAACGACGATGAGTGCGATGAAGCCAAGCCGGAGCGACGAAATACCCGACCCGGATCAACAGATCAAGAACTCGAACCAGATCAGAGCTGATTTTGATTCCTTGGCCCCTAAACGACCCACTAAACCCACCCGGAGCGAACCCGAGCCTCTCGGTTCGTTCTCTGCTTCCGACCAAACCACCGACCATCCCGAGGCTGACAAGTTCCGATCTCTCCAGTCACAAGCTCATGTTCGGTTTCTCTAACTCACTCTCTTCTCTTCACTTGAGCTGACCATTGTCGTTAAAATTTAGAATCTGTGTTTAAATATCAGGGTAATATTCTGTGTGAGGGAGATTCATCTGCGATACAAGATGAGTTCTTGGAGACACAGTATTACACGAATCTCACCGCCATTGATAAGCAACATCACACGGTTTCCACTCTCTCCCTCTCTCTGGTTTGATTTTTTTTTATCAGAAGAAATCTAATTTATTTGCAATCGTGCTCTGTTTCTTGAAATTAGACCGGAAGTGGGTTTATAAATGTGGTGAACGAAGACGGCGGTGAAGAGGCCGTGACAGCTGCTGCAGCAATCGAAGACGGTGGAGAAAAGGCGGTTTACAGAAGTAATCCGGCGACGAACGACTGGATTCCTGCGGCGGAGGAAGACCATGCTTCCGAGTCTTCGTCCAAGCCGAACCGGAGTGAGAGTTCTTGAATTTTGGATCTTCAAAAATATCTTATCCACTTCCAGATGTGAGCTCTGTTTCTTCAAATTGTTGTGTTAAACTATTAAAATAAATAAATTACATAATATAATTTAATGTTGTGATAAGAACAACTTTTTTTTTTTTTTTGACATCAAGAACAACTTTCTAACGATCAAAATATCAATGATATGAACATCTTTATGTGGACCGTATTACACCAAAAATAAATTATTTGAGACACATCTTCTTTCTTCGGCTATTTTTTTTCCTCCAACTTAATAAAATATATTACTATTTTGCTTTTTACTCTTTTTTTGTTTTTGAAGAGAGAATGACTAAAAGTAACAACTTATCTTCAAATGACTAATTTCTTGCAGTTAAATAAGCAAATTTATGTATACACACAAATAATATCATATCTTAAATCCCAATCTAGACATCATTGGCTCCTAAGAAGAGCAATTCGGAAGCTACCTCGCGTGGTCTACACGTCACAACCAATGGTTCGGCCTTAGGCATACTAAGTCCCGGACCTTCAGTCATATCAACTGGACCTCCTGAGCCACTCTCCCATTCAAAACATTGAACCATCGAACCCAACAACAATCCAACAACCCGGTTAGCCAAACCCAACCCAGGACAAACCCGTCTTCCTAACCCAAACGGCATCATCTTACTACAATATTGTCCAAACTGATCTTTCCCTTCAAATCTCTCTGGCCTAAACGACGTTGGATCGTCCCACACGCTTGGATCTCTGTGTATAGCCCACACATTAACAAACACGATCGTATCGCGTGGAACATCGAAGCCACCGATCACACAATCAGAAGATGAGAAATGAGGAACCATAAGTGGTGCCACAGGGTAAAGCCTTAGTGTCTCGGAAACAACATTGTTCAAGTAATTCATGTTCACTAATTCTTCTTCTTTCAACAAACGACGAGTATTTGATGATGATGATGATGATGATTCCATTTGAGTATCAATGTTTTGTCTAGTGGTCTCTAGTATTTGTGGATGATTGAGTAGATTCGACATTGCCCATTCCACGGTTAAGGCCGATGTATCTGTCCCTCCTATTACCATCATCTGATCATAAAATAAAATTCAGTTGTTAAAACGGGGCCAATTTTTTTTTTTTTTTTTATCGGCAAATGGGACCGTTTACTGTGACATACAGTACGTAAAAGGGAGTAGGAGCAATATTATTGTTATCTTTTTGGCTTTTTCTATTTTTCGTATTTGTCGTGGTTGCATTGGTTTCTAGCTATTTTCCAGCTGGAGATAATGATAACAATCAAGAATGGTGGCTTGACAAAAAAAAAATAGTCAAGATTGGTGATTCGATGTCATTACCAGTGTAGTTGTTTACTAGTACCAGAGTATCACGTATGGTTATCAATCCTATCAATACAAATTTAGCAACTATGGATGACATAACCGGATCTAGCTAATTTTGGTGTTAGGGAGCCGGTGACAATTTGAAGATGGATGACTTTGGTTTAACACCAAAGACTTATGGCGGAGTATGATGCAAAAGTGTTCAATTTGACTTTCTGATATTTTTGGGAGTATGATGCAAAAGTGTTCAAGTTCAAGTTTTTCTGATATTTCAGATTAGCAAGTGTATTTACACAATTTGAAGTTTTACTGTGGACCCATTTGTTTTGGTTTTAGTTGATTTTCTATTAACATTAAGTATTTTTGTTTTGGTTGAACAAATTTAACATTTAGTCTTATTTTTAAAATTTTCAAAAAGGTTATATTTGGATGTCTTTTATGTGTGGTTTAGTTTCATGAAAAAAGAAAAAAACAAAGCAATTAAGCCTAAATGAACACTTTTACATCAGTTTTTTTTTCCGGTTCGGTTGGAATGGTATCGGTCTATCCAAAATGAATACTACACTGCTTGTACTAATAGCTGAAAAAACATTTTAGCTGAGTTGTGTTTGGTTTGGCCTGATATCTAGCTGAGTTGGTCCGGTTTAAATCAGTACTGTTTATACAAATTGAACTCTCCAACGATAGTTTATATACCAAAAAAATAAGATCACAGGGATATATAGAAAGACATACCAGAATGAGACCTTTGATGGTAATATCATCGTAGTAATGAGGCTCCCTTTCTTGAGAATCAAACAAATGAGCAATCATGGTGTTTTTAAACTCCAGTCTTTCTTTGTTAGCTCTATGTTCGTCCAAAAACCCTTGTAAGACACTATCCATCTTTTTTCCAAATATCTTTGCTCTCTTGACCAAACCTTTGTAGTCAAACCACCGTAGAGCCGGCAAAAAATCCGCCGGATTATTCGCCGCAGAGAGCTCTAGAATCTCCGCCACAAGCTCCCGGAACTCCAAGCTTATCTCCGCCTTTCCGCCTTCATCTTCCTCGCAAAATCTCCTTCCGGTCATCATTCTCATTATCACGTTTAGGGTAAGACCCGTCAGTAACGGACGTAACTCCACCTGAATATACACTTAACATTGTTACCAAAACAAAACTCCACCTGAATAAAATGATGTTCTTGTTATGTTTTTTTTTGTTTTACTTTAAAGTCCATAATCGGATGTAAAGACATATTATTTTCTGGATCCGGATATTGATATAAAAGAAAAAATACGGACCGATCGTTCGACCTACTAAATCGGGCAAATTTATATCAATTAAAATATCCATGTTTCTTTCAACGAATGAGTAAAAACAAAATTAGAGCTGATTACACGCATTCCACCCATTACCACATTCTCTACGAAACATAACGAAATCTAAATCTTAGCCAAACAAAAATCTATAAACCTTCAAAAAAAAGATTATATTTATTTATTATAATATAACATATTGGCTGTATTATAGTATTATTAATTTTAGGGTACTTCTCTTTAAAAAAAACGACGTTAACTTAAATATTTTAAAGTCTATAAATAACTGATTTAATTGAGAATCACTGATAAAAAATATTGATATAAATTAAATATGTCGAAAGTCGAGAAAATTCTATTCGTCGTATTATGTAGGTATATAATATAATATAATACTTGCGTGAATTAACAACCAATGAATTAAATATAGAAGAGTTGGATTTTAATAAAGATATACGATTTTTTGGACGTACTTTAGCCGGGCGCTCAACGGATAAACCGTGAAGCTTTTGGAGAAGCCTCTTAACTTCGTCCTGTCGGATTTCCGATGACCCGTTGAGTCGATTTGTGGAGAAGACTTCCAAGGCTGTGATACGACGGAGGTTTCGCCAGTGGTCACCGTAAGGAGCCGTAACCATGGCCGTGTAGTCATAAGCAACGTACTTGCCCATGATAAAACGAGGTCGATTCGCTAAAACGATGTCGTTTTTCGTCAAAAAACATTCTTCGACTGCCGTCGGAGACGAGATGATCACGGCGAGTCGAGAGCCGAGGCGGAGAGAGAAGACAGGACCGAGGGAGTGCGAGAGACGGCGGAACGTGCGGTGAATCAACGGGTCATTGAGGAGGTGAAGGTGTCCGATGATCGGAAAACAGATACGTGGCGACGGTGGGAGATTTTTGTTTGGTTTAGAGAGTGAGAGAAGAATCTTGGTAATGAGAATTGTAATAAGAATGGTAAGGATAAGTAAAACATAATCCATGACGACTTTTAATTTTCTTCTTCTTTTCTCTACTTTTGTGTGTGTGTTTGGGTTTCTATGGCGTCATTAAATAGTTTAATGAATTATTAGATACTGGCCTACACGGAAAAAAAGGGCCACTAATTAATACTGATTTTGACACTCATATATTCTAAGGTAAAATAACCAAAAATGAAACTAATAAAAATAGTGCATATATTATATAGTTTTAGTGATAAAAATAAGCGTCCTGTTGAATAACGTGCACGCAATATATGTAGGAGTTTACTACGAAAGAAAAAATATTTAAATCAAGTAAACAACCATTTTGAGAAAAGTTAAAAAAATGAAAACAATTTTACATGAGAATGTCAAAGTTCATGGCTGCTCATGTGGTTTTCTAACAATGTATGAACAAAAATAATAAATAAAAAACAAAATGATATTTTACAGTAACCACTTATGTCTTTTCAAAGCTGAACGCTTAACCACTAAACGCCCTTTTCATTTAATCAAAATCCAACAAGTTTTATTGGAAGTTCTCGATAAAGTCTTGTATATTCCAATTTTTTTTAGCTTTGCTCGACCTATGATCTTGGGATTTCTTAGATTGTCTTTATCTTTATTTAAAAAAAAAAAATTAAATTGGGCTATGCGAATCTCATAAGCATGTCAACAAAACCCATAACCAACTCTAACCCGACGAAAAATTATCGGCATCAAAGAAGCTTAATTAATCAACTAACCTTTTCAAAAAAAAAAAAAAACTTGCTTATCCAACTAAACTTGTTGACCACAAAACTCAACTGTATCTCTACGATTAAACATGTGGCATGCAGTAAATGTGTGACCAACACAATACTTACGTACGTTTATATCATTTTACCGGCACAAGCACGTGCCATACACATAGCTCGCAAAGGAGTAGCTTTAGGCATAGTGAGCCCTTTGTCTTCAGTCATGTCCACAAGTTCCTCACCAACTCTTTGCCACTCGAAACACTGAATCAAACACCCAAGAGCCAGGCTCACCAACTTCTTCCCAAGCTCTGCTCCTGGACATGCCCTTCTCCCCATCCCAAACGGTAATATTAGCTTCTGCGACTCTCCTTCTTTCTCGAATCTCTCCGGCTTGAAAACCTCTGGCTCTTCCCATAAACTTGGATCTCTATGCATAGCCCATACGTTTGTCAATAACAGAGTGCCACGTGGCATATCGTATCCTGCCACAATACAATCTTCCGACGACAAGTGAGGGAGTAGCAGCGGAGCCGGGGGATACAAACGCAGCGTTTCAGACACGATGTTTTGGAGATAATGGAGATTCACAATGTCTGATTCCTCAACTAGCCGGTCTAAACCGATTTTATCATCGATTTCTGCTCTTGCTTTCTCAAGTATCTCTGGATGGTTCAACAAATTCGACATTGCCCACTCTAGCGTCACTGCTGACGTGTCTGTCCCGGCAATTACCAGAGACTGTGTATACATGCATCTTTAATCCATTAGTAAACTCTCAATATATATTAGATATACTATATGAAGTAATAAAAGTACTTACGATTATGATTCCTTTGATGATGACGTCAGTATAATACTCAGGTTGGGTTTCTTGGAGAGAAAGCAAGTGATGGATCAAAGTTTGACCTTTTGTTTTCTCTGCACGTTTCTCATCAACCAGTCTTTGCAAGAATCCATCGAATCGATTCCCCAAGATTTTGGCCCGTTTTTCATAATCTGTGACCCAACGTACGATCGGAAGATAGTCAGCTAGATTTCCTGCACCGGAGCTAGCCAACGCCTCCGATATAAGTGCCCTCACGATTTTGGCCTCGGCGTTGTCTTCTGTGCCGACACCGTAATATCGTTTCCCGGCTACCATCATGATGATGTTGTTGAGGGCCAAGCTGGCTAATAATGATTGCATCTCCACTTCCACAAATCCCTGTGAGACCGATTATTTTTATTAATCATTTTTTTTGAATTAATTATAATAGATTCAAAATGATACATGTGATATAGATTTTATTTTATTTTAGAATTTTTCTTTCAAATTCAACAGGTAAAGTTTACATTATCTAAAACTTCAAAGTTACTAGAAATTTATATCAAATTTTAGATGGTTACATATTGTTTCATATTTTCTTTGTTTTTTTTTTCAAAAGATTTGTTTCAGTTGTATAAATTAGTAAGTTTTCCCTCCTTTCAGAAAATATAAAAGATAATTATATAATTACAGTTGTCCTTTCAGAAAATAGAAAAGATAATTATATAATTACAGTTGAGAATTGAGATCTATGGAAATATAAAAGTTTTCTTTTGGGCACCTATATAGTATGAAGTGACGAGTAACAAAAAAAAAAATATTAAATATGCATGGGCCGGAGGCTAGAATATACCAAATCATATGGACATTATTAAATATGCACGATACGGAAGGCTGGAAAATACCTACTCGGCTAGGTGTCAACATGGAAATGGAGTAAATAGGTGACGAATACAACGCCACACAACGTAAAGAAAGAATTTGCTCTACTTATATTATGTCTACCACGAATATAAAAATCAATCAATGAATAAATAAAAAAATGATTTACGTGTAGGGAGTTTCTCGAGAGGTGCGTTATGAGCTGTCGGATCTCGTCTTTACGGACGGACATAAACGTACTGATCCTCTGAGAAGAGAATATCTCGACGGCGGCGATACGGCGGAGATTCCTCCAGTGATCGCCGTAAGATGCTGTAATCATGATGGTGGAGTCGTAGGCGATGTGTTTGCCCATGATGACCTCGGGTCGGTTCGCAAGAACGCGTCGTTTCTGGTGAAGCATTCTTCGGCTATGGAATGCGAGGAGATGACGTAAACGAGTCGGTTTCCGAAGCGGAGGTGGAAGATCGGAGTATTCCCGAGGGACTGAGAAAGGGAGAGGAATGTTCGGTGGATAGGGTTCTTGAGGAGGTGGAGGTGGCCGATAACCGGTAAAGAGTAAGCCGGAGAAGGAGGAAGATTCAGCTTCCCGTTTGATTTTGTGAAGAAGAATTTGATGGAGATGAAGATAAAGATAAAGGAGATAAGAAGTAAAATTTGGGTGAAGTCCATTTTCGGTTTTGTATACTGGTTGCTTGTTTGTTTTGGAGGTTTCTTTCCTTTTTTGTATTTTGTTGCGTAGCTCTGTGGGAGATTGGACCGGGTGGGTACTCTGTTTTCTTAAAGAAAACGATAATCAACTACTGATTCTACAACTAAAAATCTGTTTAATAATTTTTTTTTTTGTAAATTTTGAATTTAGATTAAAAAAAAATCTGATATCTAAAAGAATTAGAAGCAAACAACTAAAAACACAAACGAGTTTTAGTACTTTTTCATTAAATGTGAAAAGTAAAGAAACCGTTATAAACACCCTTATAAATTTCACTATAATTATATGAAAATTTTGGGAGAAAGTAGTTTTATAATTAGTAATTGTATCCAGCATTAATTTTCGCTCTTCTTTTATTACTCTATGGTCTACGCTAAACGAACACGACAATTGAAAACAAGTCAAATACAAAAACTAGGATAAACAAGTACTACATATACTTGTCTAAAATATCTCAAATATTGCTAAACAAGTAATACTTGTATTAAATATCTAAAATATTCCTCTTCTAACGACTTAGAGGGGCTGAGTTTCAAAGGAAATTAATTATTCTAAATTTTAATTATTGGTGTTTCTTTTCCTTTTTTTATCATTTTATCAAACAAAACTTAGATAGTAGTTCTGTGTAATGGATTTCTTTTGCGAGTTCCATGGCTCTAGTAATGCTTTGACTAACACAACCATATGTTATAGTACTATATATTTACAGTTGACTATCGCAAATTTTTATTTTATGGTTCGGCAATTATTTTTATAACATTTTTTATATGTGATAGCTTGAGAGATTCACTGTATTAAAATGATATTTGACCTTGTGCCCATTAAGCCGATATCAAACAAGATTGTGAAAGTTACAGCAAACTACTCGCCTGACGACCCAAACAAATAAACACATAAAAAAGTTGTCAATCAATACATGTTTATTAAGTAAATAAAACAAAAAAATACACTTCTTAAGACGAGCAAGATATCAGTTTACCCACAATGGAACGTGCTTTACACATGGTTCGCAAAGGCACTAGTTTAGGCAGCGTGACTCCGTTCTCTTCGGTCATGTCCACAAGTTCCTCACCAAACCTTTCCCACTCGAAACATTGAATCAAAGTTGCAAGAACCAGACTCACTAACCGTTGAGCAAGCCCTGCTCCAGGACAAGCTCTTCGACCCAACCCAAATGGCATTAGCTTCTCAGCCTCTCCTTCCTTTTCAAATCTCTCTGGCTTGAACATCTCTGGATCTTCCCATAACTCTGGATCTCTATGCATAGCCCACACGTTAGTCAATACCATCGTACCACGTGGGATATCATATCCCGCCACTCTACAATCTTTCGATGACATATGAGGTAGTAGTAGCGGAACCGCAGGGTACAAACGTAGTGTCTCCGAGACAATGTTTTGGAGATAAGGGAGATTCACAATGTCCGGTTCGTCTACTAACCGGTCAAAACCAATTTTCTCATCGATCTCGGTTCTCGCCTTTTTAAGTACTTGTGGATGGTTCAACAAATTGGACATTGCCCATTCTGTTGTCACCGCTGAGGTGTCTGTCCCTGCAAGTACCAGAGTCTGCACATATTGGTTGTTAATATAAACTTTATGTATGTATACAGTTTATTTTTCTTATTGAATGAATGGAATACTTACGAGTATGAGTCCTTTGATGATGACATCCGTATGGTTTTCGGGTTGGGTTTCTTGGAGAGTAAGCAAGTGATCGATCATAGTTTGACCTTTTTCTTTTTCTGCACGTTTCTCGTCAACAATTCTCTGTAAAAACGCATCAAAACGATTTCCTAGATTCTTGATTCGCTTCTCGTAATTTGTGAGCCAACGTAAAACCGAAAGATAATCAGCTGGGTTCCCAGCACCGGCGCTGGTCACCACCTCCGACACAAGTTGCCTCACGACTTTAGCTTCGTCGCTATCCTCACCGTAGTATCGCTTCCCAGCCACCATTCTCATGACGTTGTTGGATGCCAAATTGGTTAATAATGTTTTCATCTCCACCTCCACAAATCCCTGCAGGTGGAGATGCCATTCCAATTTCAAACAATTAGAACTAAAACCAAATATCTTACCATTTTAAAACAATTAGAACCTAATTTTGATCATCAATATAAGTTAGAGTTACGTTTTATATACGTTTTTTTTCTTCGGAATATATGTGTATAGACTATGTATATTGTGATGAAGACTTTCGAAAATAATGGCTATCATATATACACATTGGGAAAACTTATTTTAATATCTTCTTGGAAAAGTAAACTAAGCACATGAATAATACTACTTAAATAAACGTTTTCCCGTGAAAAGAAAGCTAGTTGACAAAGATAAACCTAGTTGTGTATAAGTAATGTTGTACCATCCAAAATTCAAAGTCAATCACAAGCATTGTCGCACTGTATATACAGTATTTATAAAAACCAAAAAAATTATCGCAAAGTACATACAGTATTTATAAAAACAAAAAAATTATAACTATCAATCCCATAAATGTATGATTATTTACATATAAATAGAAGAAATAGAAGGGGGTCATTAAAAAAAATAAGCATAAAAAAGGAATCAATATATATATCTATAAAAAAGGGGGTCATTAAAAAAAAAAGGTCTTACGTGTAAAGAATCTCGGGAAAGCCGTGATATGAGCCGTTGGATCTCGTCCTTACGGATAAACAAAGAGGAATTAAGTCTCTGAGTCGAGAATATCTCTATGGCGGCGATACGACGGAGATTCCTCCAGTGGTCGCCGTAAGATGCTGAGAGTAAATGAGTGGCGTCGTAGCCGACGTGCTTGCTCAAGATGAACTTGGGACGGTCCGCGAGAACGACGTCGTTCTCAGTGAAACATTCTTCGGCCATGGGACGTGAAGAGATGACATAAACGAGGCGGTTTCCGAGGCGGAGGTGGAAGATCGGAGCAATTCCGATGGATTTTGAGAGTGAAAGGAAAGTTCGGTGGATCGGTGGCTTGAGGAGGTGAAGGTGGCCGATGAACGGCAAAGATATCGCCGGAGACGGAGGAAGGTTCAGCTTCCGTTTGGATCTTGTGAGCAAGAATCTGACGGAGATCAAGAGAGAGAGAGAAGAGAGTATTAAGATTTGTATAAGTTCCATTTTTGTTGTTGTTGTTGTGTTCTTCTTTTATCTCGGAGTCATTCTTTTATATTTGTTGTTGGGTTCTTCTTTATCTCTGAGGCATTCTTTTAAAAAAAAAAAAAAATACAATGTTAAATTATATTCAAAAGAAAAATACATGTTTTCTACAATTTTTATTTAAAACATTTTTCAACACAAACTGAAACCTATGCTTGACTTGTAGAGTTCTTTTCTTTATCTCTGAGTCTTTTTTTCAGTTTTGTGATTGATTATTCTTCTCTCCAGCTTAAATTTACAAATATCCATGAGTCATTGTTTTGTATTTGTTGTTTTTGATATTGACACATTAGCTGTGGCGTGTGATGTATTATTATTGGCGATTTTTAAATTTAACTACAGTAGGTGGTAGAGATTTTTAAATTTAACTACAGTAGGTGGTAGAGATGCTAACCGGGCCGAGGATCCACGGCCCAACCCAATAAGGTCTGCGAGTTTGCGGTCTGATCCGCGAAACAGTACAGTGTACACATTCGGCGAATACGTTGAAAAATTCCAGGCGTGGCGATTGCCGTGGTTGACATGGCTCTCGAAAACTTCACGCCTTTGAAAAACTTCATGGTTTTGGATCCTTAATTACGATGGAGCCTACATGGTTAATTGATAAACAAGCAAATTGTTTCCGAGTTCTATAATAATCTGCTGTTTTCATAAGTTCTTAGATTAATAATTGGCTGAATTTGAGCTACCTATTTTACAATCTTTTCACCAGCATCGATCGGTGCTTTCCACTGGACTGATCGTTATGGTCATCATTAGCATTGGAGAAATTTTACACATATATCTGTTTGTTCGTATTTTGGTCTACTGTCGAATTATATTGTTTTTATGGATTTTGGAGACTTATATTGTTTTTATAGACTTTATAATTATTGTTTCTTTTCCTTTTTTTGATCATTTTATCAACTCCATACAGGACTTCAAACCAAACATAGTTAGTAGTTCAGTGTAATGGTTTTCTTTTGCGAGTTCCATGGCTCTAGTAATGCTACAGTTGACTGACACAGCCATATATTATAGTACTATATATTGTACAGTTGACTATCGCAAATTTTTATTATATGGTTTGGCAATTATATATATTTATAGCATTTTTTATATGTGGTAGCTTGAGATTCACTGTATTAAATTGATATTTGACCTAGTGAGTAGTGACCATGAAGCCGATATCAAACAAGATCGTGAAAGTTGCAGCAAAATATTCGCATGACGACCCAAACAAATAAACACATAAAAAAGTTGCCATTTAAACAAATTAATACATGTTTCTTAAGTAAAAACAAAAACAAAGACAAAAACAAAAAACAAATACACTTCTTTTTTGTTTGTGTTGATAAAGCAAACAAATACACTTCTTAAGACAAGCACTATATCAGTTTACCAACAATGGAGCGTGCTTTGCACATGGTTCGCAAAGGCACTAGTTTAGGCAGCGTGATTCCTTTCTCTTCGGTCATGTCCACAAGTTCCTCACTAACCCTTTCCCACTCGAAACATTGAACCAAAGTTCCAAGAACCAGACTCACTAAACGTTGAGCAAGAACTTCTCCAGGACAAGCTCTTCGACCCATCCCAAATGGCATTAGCTTCTCAGCCTCTCCTTCCTTTTCAAATCTTTCTGGCTTGAACATCTCTGGATCTTCCCATAACTCTGGATCTCTATGCATAGCCCACACGTTAGTCAACAGCATCGTACCACGTGGGATATCATATCCCGCCACTTTACAATCTTTCGATGACAAATGAGGTAGTAGTAGCGGAACCGAAGGGTACAAACGTAATGTCTCCGAGACAATGTTTTGGAGATAAGGGAGATTCACAATGTCCGATTCCTCTACGAACCGGTCAAAACCAATTTTCTCATCGATCTCGGTTCTCGCCTTTTTAAGTACTTGTGGATGGTTCAACAAATTCGACATTGCCCATTCTATTGTCACCGCTGAGGTGTCTGTCCCTGCAAGTATCAGACTCTGCACACATTGGTTGTTAATAAACTTTTATGTATGTATATTTTGCTTATTGAATGAATGGAATACTTACGAGTATGAGTCCTTTGATAATGACATCTGTATAGTATTCGGGTTGGGTTTCTTGGTGAGAAAGCAAGTGATCGATCATAGTTTGACCTTTTTCTTTCTCTGCACGTTTCTCGTCGACAATTCTCTGTAAAAACGCATCAAAACGGTTCCCTAGATTCTTGATTCGCTTCTCGTAATTGGTTAGCCAACGTAAAACCGAAAGATAATCAGCTGGGTTTCCAGCACCGTTGCTGGTCACCACCTCCGCCACAAGTTGCCTCACGACTTTAGCTTCGTCGCTATCCTCACCGTAGTATCGCTTCCCGGCCACCATTCTGATGACGTTGTTGGATGCCAAATCGGTTAATAATGATTTCATCTCCACCTCCACAAATCCCTGGTGGAAATATATACCATTACAATTTAAAACAATAAGAGCTAAAACCATATATTTTACCAATTTCAAACAAGAATTAGAACCTAAACTTGATCATCAGTATAAGTTAGAGTTACGTTTTATGTGTATAGACTATGTATATAATGTGATGAGTTGAGACGTTCGAAAATAATGGCTTTCATATATACGCCTTGGAAAAACTTATTTTCTTCTTGGAAAAGTAAACGCCTTAAGCACATGAAAAAATAACTTAACTTAACGTCTTCGAGTGAAAAGAAAACTAGTTGACCAAGATAAATCTAGCCTACTGGTGTATAACAGTATAAGTAATGTTGTACCATCCAGAATTAATACATATAAAAAAAAAACGTCAGTTAAAAATAAATTAAAAATGAATAAAGAGAGGTCGTATACTTGTAAAGAGTCACGGGAAAGCCGTGAGATGAGCCGTCGGATCTCGTCCTTACGGATAAATAAAAACGAATTAAGTCTCTGAGTCGAGAATATCTCTATGGCGGCGATGCGGCGGAGATTCCTCCAGTGGTCGCCGTAAGATGCTGAGGCTAAATGAGTGGAGTTGTAGAAAACGTGCTTGCTCAAGATGAACTTGGGACGGTCCGCGAGAACGACGTCGTTCTCAGTGAAACATTCTTCGGCCATGGGACGTGACGAGATGACATAAACGAGGCGGTTTCCAAGGCGGAGGTGAAAGATCGGAGCATTTCCGATGGATTTTGAGAGTGAAAGGAATATTCGGTGGATTGGTGGCTTGAGGAGGTGAAGGTGGCCGATAAACGGCAAAGATATCGCCGGAGACGGAGGAAGGTTCAGCTTCCGTTTGGATCTTGTGAGCAAGAATCTGACGGAGATCAAGAATAAGAGAGAAGAGAGGATTAAGATTTGTACAAGTTCCATTTTTGTTGCTGTTGTTGTTGTTGGGTTCTTCTTTATCTCTGAGTCATTGTTTTGTATTTGTTGTTTTGGATATTGGCATTAGGTGTGGCGTGATGTATTATTGGCGATACTTTTTGATGATTTCATTTTTTATCCATACTTTTTGATGATTTCATTTATCTGTCGTTGATAGTTAATTGTGTGGTATGATATATCTAATTTAAATAACTACGATTTGGTAATAGGCTTCCTCTTTGTGTCGACATATAGTAAAAAAAAGACTTTTTCTTTCTCATCTCATTGGTTGTTCTCAATTGCTGTTGAAAGGGAGTATGTTCTCCAGTTTTAGATCACCAAATGAAGTATGTTCGACATTAAAAAAACTTGCAATTTATAATCTTCATTATTATCAACATCGTATGTAATATATGTGGGGATCACATTATATGTTAATTTTACTTGTACCTTGATTTACAATAGTAACAACTTAAAAAAAACACACTTCAATATATATACACACACACACACTTATTTCTCGTTTCCTAAATAGGTCTTAAAATACTCAGTTTGACTCATGGAGGATTTCACCAACAGAGGCACGAGCCCTACACATGGCTATCAACGGTCTAGCTTTAGGCATTGTGACTCCTCCAGCTTCAGTCATATCCACCTCTTCTTCTCCGATCCTTTCCCACTCAAAACATTGAATCAAAGACCCTAGAGTCAAGCTCACTAGCCGTTGAGCCAATCCGGACCCAGGACACGCCCTTCTTCCTAACCCAAAACGCCATCAGCTTACGAGCCTCTCCTTCTTTATCGAACCTCTCTGGGTTGAAAGCCTCCGGATCATCCCATAGCTGAGGATCTCGGTGTATAGCCCACAAGTTCACCAATAACATCGTCCCACGTGGCATATCGTAACCTCCGACGTTACAGTCTTCCGATGCGACGTGAGGGACCAGCAGTGGCCCCGCAGGATACAAGCGCAGCGTTTCAGACACAATGTTCTGAAGATAAGGAAGTTTTGTGAAGTCTGATTCCTCCACAAGCCTGTCGAAGCCAACTTTCTTGTCGATTTCGTCTCTCGCCTTGTTCATTACCTCTGGATGGTTCAACAAGCTCGACATGCCCATTCCAGTGTTACCGCTGATGTATCCGTCCCCGCCAGTATCAGAGACTGCACATAACTCTTGCCGGTTACTTATACTAGCATTCAATATTGTGACAGAAACGAACTAATTAAAGTAAATCGATTCATTAACTTTAAATGGCTCTTGTTGGTTACTTACGAGTATGATTCCTTTGATGGTGCGGTCCGTGTAGTACTCTGGCTGTGTTTCTTGCAGAGAAAGCAAGTGATCGATCATCGTGTTCCCCTTCTCTTTCTCAGCTCGTTTTTCATCGACCAAGCCTTGCAAGAACTCATCTAGCCTATCGGCAAGCTTCTTAATCCGTTTCTCGAAATCTGTGACCCAACGCAGGACCGGTACATAATCAACAGCGTTTCCTGCGCCAAAACTACTCATCGCCTCCGCGATAAGCTGCCTTACGCGTTTAGCCTCCGGATCGTCCTCTGCGCCGTCTCCGTAGTAACGTTTTCCGGCCAACATTCTGATTATGTTGTTGAATGTTAAGTCGGAAAACATTGATCTCATCTCCACCTTGGCAAATTCATTCCTGCAACTTTCAATGTATATATATCATCTGCTAAATCAATAACATAATCAAGAAAAGGCATCACCTATAAACATAGTCTGATTAGAGATTAATATTACATCATACCACAAACTTTAATCCTATATTTGTAATTATGACATAGTTTTCTCTGTTACAATAAATGATACACTTGCAGAAAACTTGTCCAAATAGCATAAAGTTTCCTAAAATAGTAATTAAGGTATACGTCTTTTTCAAATTTGGCGGTTTCTGCGGCAAAATGTTTTCTAATTAATTTAAACATAAAATAAAAATGGGAGAGTTAGGCCGTGGAACAGAGAGCTCACATACGATACGTGTGACGAATTCCGTGAGAGACGAGCTATAAACCGCCGGATCTCGTTACGGCGGATAGAAGAAAAGAGATTGAGCCGGTGAGCCGAGAATATCTCGACGGCGCCGATGCGACGGAGGTTTCTCCAGTGTTCGCTGTATGACGCTGAGGCCATGGTTGTGTAGTCGTACGAGATGTGTTTCGAAGCGACGGAGTGTGGCCGGTTCGCGAGTACGACGACGTCGTTCTTGGTGAAGCATTCTTCGGCGATTGAGTGCGAAGAGACGACGAAAACGAGTCGATTGCCGAGACGGAGGGAGAAGACCGGAGCATCGCCGAGGGATTGAGAGACGGAGAGGAAAGCGCGGTGGAGCGGCGGCTTGAGGAGGCGGAGGTGACCGATGATCGGAAGCGCGAAGGGCGGAGACGGAGGGAGGTTTTGCTTTCGCTTGATTCTTCCGATGAAGAAGAATGTGAGGGAGAGGAAGAGGAATGTCAAAATTAGGATTTGAGCTTCCTCCATGTTTGTTTCTTGCTGCTTATTCCTGATTGGATTTGGGATTTGAGTGTTTATATAATATACAATTTATAGATTTAACTGATGTGGTTCTGAATCTCTTTTGATGATAAGGATGTACTGTCATAATGTACTAAAAGACAGACGTGGATTTTGAAAACATCACAATTTTTGGCAAAGTGGAATAAGATAACTTACCCGATTGCTTTTCCGACTTTATTTTGTTTTTTTTGGTAAAAAAAATTCGAATTCAATTCATTGAAGGCAAGACCCTTTTTTGTCGTTTACTCGCTCTATTTAAAAGTCCAACAAAAAACTACTCAAAACAGAGAAGGTTAAGAATCAAATTACTTACTCCATTGAAGTAGACTTAAGTACTGTATATTGAATTAAGTTTGTTCATAAACACACAACTTAGAAACATTGAATTGTAGTTAACAGTGAACAACATTGTTTGAAATTCACGGTCGATTTGTTGTCTTCATTTTACATAGTAACAAGTAATAACTACAACATAACATATATGTACCCTATTACCTATAAATAACTACAACATACAGACATAACAACTAATCAAAAACCAAAAAAAGACAACCGGTTACCTAATAAAGCATATATAACAAACATTACTAAAGTGAAGCAGAATCGTGGAAGATCTTACCAACAGAGGCACGTGCTCTGCACATGGCTTCCAAAGGCTTAGCTTTAGGCATTGTGCCTCCTCTGCCTTCACTCATGTCCACTTCTTCTTCTCCGGTCCTCTCCCATTCCAAACACTGAATCAATGACCCAAGAGTCAGGTTTATTAGACGATGAGCCAGTCCAGAACCAGGACACGCCCTTCTTCCTAACCCAAAAGGCATCAGCTTCTGAGCCTCTCCTTCTTTCTCAAACCTCTCTGGCTTGAAGCTCGTTGGATCATCCCACAGCTGAGGATCTCTGTGTATAGCCCACGCATTGGTCAATAGTATCGTGCCTCGTGGCATATCGTAACCCGCAACTTTACAATCTTCTGAGGCAACGTGAGGAAGCAGCATTGGGACCGCCGGGTACATGCGTAACGTTTCTGACACAACGTTTTGGAGATATGGCAGATTTGAGATGTCTGATTCGTCCACAAGCCTGTCCAAACCAACCTTTCTATCGATTTCTTCTCTCGCCTTGTTCAATATCTCAGGATGGTTCAACAGGTTCGACAATGCCCATTCCAATGTCACCGCTGATGTGTCGGTCCCGGCCAATATCAAAGCCTGCAAATAACAAACATACACAAGTCTAAAACTTACACTTTTCCATACCAAGATGTAATCTCAAGCATTGATAGAACCTGTAAATGCATTTTCCAAGTTTTGGGATATATACTTACAACCATGTTTCCTTTGATGATGCGATCTGTGAAGTAATCCGGCTGCGATTCTTGCAGAGAGAGCAAGTGATCGATCATGGTGTTGCCTTTCTCTTTAGCTTCTCGTTTCTCATCAACCAATCCCTGCAAGAGCTCGTCGAGCCGACCCGCCAGCTTCTTGACACGTGTCTCGTAATCTGAAACCCAACGCAAGACCGGTAAATAATCAACAACGTTTCCGGCGCCAGCAAGAGCCACCACATCTGCAATGAGTTGTCGGAACCGTTTAGCCTCCGGATCGTTCTCTGTGCCGTCACCGTAGTAACGTTTTCCGGCCAACATTCTGATTATGTTGTTGAATGTTAAGTTAGATAACATTGATTTCATCTCCACCTTGGCAAATTCCTGCAAATGTATTGATATATCTTCTGTTAAATCAACGACGCAACCGATAAAACGCTTTAATTATCCTAATTTCCTAACCAAAGATATAATTTTTCGATCGAAAATTGGCATTTTCGCTGATATAAGACTAACCTGTGAAAAGTTCCGTGAGAGACGTAATATGAGCCGTCGGATCTCGTCCTGACGGATAGAGAGGAAGCCATTGAGCCGGTGATTGGAGAAGATCTCGACGGAGCCGATGCGGCGGAGGTTCCGCCAGTGGTCTCCGTACGAAGCTGCGATCACTGTTGTGTAATCGTACGCGACGTGCTTGGCGAGGATGAACTTTGGCCGGTTCGCGAGTACGACGTCGTTTTTAGTGAAGCACTCCTCGGCGATCGAGTGTGACGAGTTCACGAAAACGAGTCGGTTTCCAAGGCGGAGGGAGAAGATCGGAGCATCGCCTAGGGAATGGGAGAGGGAGAGGAAAGTGCGATGGATCGGTGGTTTGAGGAGGCGGAGGTGACCGATCACCGGTAACGACCATGCCGGACACGGAGGGAGGTTGGGCTTTCGCTTGATTCTTCCGATCAAGAATCTGAGAGTAAGAACAATGAATAGAACTGAAGAAATTAGGGTTTTGGCTTCCATATTCGATTATTGGTTATCGAATAATACTAATTATTGGGTTAAATAGATTGGAGAAAGAACCAAAAACCAAATTTGATTGTAGTATTGACTCATTGACAAAACTTTTCTTCTTTTCTCGATTTGAATTGTGACGTTATTGTTAACAGATGTCTCTAATGTGATTCCAATTTTGATTCTATCTTCCTGTTTATAATAGTCAAAGTCGTGGTCTTTACGAAAATTGGAAAATTCTTCGTCGTGTAAGAACTGTAACAGAGAATTTGCTCTCCCTACCTAGTGTTGGAGAGAATAACTAGAAGGCTACTCTGGATTCTACAAGCCCAACTGAATATAATTAGATCAAGACTTGGTTGTAGGGCTTGGCACATCATCACTTCTTCTGGAGCACTTCAGCCACTGATTCCGATCTATCGTTCACAATTGCAAATTTTAGCGGCGGAATGAAAAACCTACCGATGTGGCAGTTGCGGCCGAGGAGGAAGTTGTCAACTATTTCTGCGGTGGTGACGTTGCGAGAAGTGGTCACTAGACCATCTTCGGCAGTTGATAATTCTTTGAATTCTCAATTAAATCTAAGCCCATATTTAAACGCAAGAGGCCCATTAGTCTATATACGATGGTCCGGCCTATTACTAAAGATGAAGAAGTAGTTCACTTTACTAGTAATATACCAAGCAGGAGTGAAATGTAGCTTATTGATGTATTCTTTTCAAAATTCAGAAGTCTACAAATTGTCCTTTGACCCAAAAAAAGGAAGAAAGAAAAAGGCCTAAAAATTGGAAAGAAGTCAGAAGCCTACAAATACAATACATGTATGTAGCACATAAAAAATAATGGGCTACAGAAATTTTGACCCAGACATAGAGATCAAAGAAAGATTTTTGGCCGAGACAAGGCGATCAAAGAAGTGGAAATTGACCAATATATGTATGTGATTAAAGTAATAATCAATAAAATTATTATTAAGAAAAGTGAAATGGAAGAGAGACAAAACCTAGAGAGCAGTGAAAAGGAAAAGGACAAAAGGTGTAAGAAGAATAAACATATTAATTGTGTCTAAAGAACTAAAGCTATGTCCTGGTTCAACCTTACTCATGTGACGTACTGACGTTCCCGTCAGCTTCTTATTTAAATTCTTTTAATTTACTTCTATGAAAATCGAAAACTACGAGAAAACAAATAAAAAGACATAACAAAACTCAGAAAAGAAAAAACTTTAAATTCGGATCGGGTTTCAAGTTTGAATGTTCGGATCTACTATCTAGAAAATACACGGTCTAAAAAATAAAAACGTGTGTTTTCATTATAGCCATACATTAAAATTAAACACGAGTCTTAAAAGACAACTACGACTATTAATAATTTTTTTTAAAATGTTTAAAATGAAAAAAAAAAAAAGGATCAGAGAATATAAGAAAGAATTGAACTCTGGACGTCCCGGAAACGAAAGCGACTGAACATAAGTGTTCGGTAGTTGGATTGCTACGGCATATTTTGTCGTAACACCGCATGCACCCAACTCGGTCCAATTTTCTTTTGGTATATATAGCGTACATGTATTACTTTTATTTATCCTTGCAAGCCTTTGATTTGTAAGCATATACAGGTTTTTAAGTTTTATATTGGCAAACCAATTATCTAAAAGAAGAAAATAGTTTTCTTACATATAGGACCGCATGAAAAAATTGTTTTTTTTTATCATATGAAATTTTGTACAGCGTCTGGAATAACAGTTTATGTCACGGACTGAGTGTTCCCCTTGTAACAAAAAATAATAATAATACAAGATTGCAACTTTTAAATCCTTGAATATTTAACAGATAGATAAGTTTGTTAATATATTATATATTTCAATTAACCTATAACATATTGGAGGGGGTTTTGTAATTGTATACGAGAAACATTTCCTGACGTGACTGACTATAGTTGTTTAAATCTTTTGCTTGATATATATCAATTGCCTTAGCCGATAATTTCATTCAAACAATTCGAAGTTTGAATCCGATAAAGTCATCACTATTTTAAAGAATAACTTGTAATTCAACGATTGTGATCAACCGATGAATATGACAATAATATGACATATTGTCATGGCCGGGTTGATTACTTATATAGAATAATATAATTTGAAACATATTTGTATGATTAGTTAATACCAGCTACTTTTCAAAATATGTTGGCTGAAGCCTCGGGTATTGAGAACTGCTTAACGCTTTCAATACTGAACACTAGTTTTTCTCAAACTAAGGAAGTTTACTAAACATTTTTATGGGTTTCAGAATATGCCTTAATTGGGATATAATTTAGCAATATTATCCTACATTTTTTTTTTTTGGTAAGCCGTAAGCCTTGTGTATAACTAAAAGATGTTAAGGAGAAACTGGATTACTGGCTAATGGATAACTAACCACTCCAAAGTTAATAAAATTTTGTGTCCACGAAAAAAAGAGTAGAAAACACATTATTTGTTTATCGGCTAAATACAGATAGTGTAAGAAAATAAAAACAGAAATAAAGGACATTTGTAAAGAATAACAACGACAGTGTTTGCCCATAAATGATCTCTCTGATCCCGAAACATGTACATTTGTTTGGGTATACATAACTCATGCTTTTGCCTTTTCAAAACTGTATTGTATGTTCCCTCTTGACTTTTATTCAAAGCTCGATCGTTTTGTTTTTAAAAAGTAATTTTATATTTTATATTAAAAAAGAATCTCCTAAATTATGAAAATAATAGTGATATATCAGCGAAAAGCGTGCGTCAACTTCTTTAAACAGAGATCTATTCACATGCATGGTGTAAAGATATATATACATACATATGGCGACGTGCATGCATGTGCCACTATCTTTTCTAAATGCACCAATTATTATCAGGATTGTTGTTTGTACTAAGAAATAATTATGAAATTTAGTTATAGGAAGGATGGCGTCGTGATTGATTTAAAAATACTCAATCAAACACTCTGATTCGGCAATTACTTATCCTTTTCCACCTAACTGGTCGTTTCTTTTTTTTCTACTATCCATCACGTAACGTAAAGACTTTTCTTTTTCGTAAAATTTAAATTTTATATCATTTTTATTTTTTAATTGCATTACAGAGATAAAAGGAAGAAGGCAGAAAAAAAAAACTACCAAACAACAAACCGAAAAACTACAACAAACCACAATAAGCAAGAATTTAGTATGGTAAAAACATATAAAAAAAATCGTGAAAGCACAGAACGACACGCAGACCATCCTGTGCCTCATCAGTTCTGAATGACTTGAGAATCCTATTTCTTGTTGCCACGAGCTTCATCCCCGAAGCAAACCCTCAAAATCTCAAGGACGAAACCTACAACTTCCAAGAGGGAGCAGAGAATATGCGTTTCCGACATAGCTTAACAACGTAAAGACTTTATTGTTATAATACTGTAAATATTTTTAAAATTCCGTGTCTTCCTACTTTGTGTGCGGTATATTGTGTTTGTGTGTTGAGAATGTTGAATGAAGGAAAAAAAATTGTCGTATATATACGTAAATTTGCGGAATGCATGGTTGATGTTAAAAAGGGCCCCAAGTCTGTGTTATCCAAAGATATCTTGATTATCTTCTCCAATATCGTCAGCGATGTGACGCCATGCCTTCTTTGGATCTCTATCTCTCTCATAGAACCGTGTTCCTTTTTCTTCCATTTTGACAAGTTGATTATCTGTTCAAATTTGTTATTTTCTTACAAAACGATACACATGTTCTCAATGTGTTTATTTCATAACCAATGTGTTTATTTCATAAACTAGTCATAACATTTATTGTGACTTTAATTTAGTAATGCTCTGAATAGTAGTGCTAGACGGAGTGGATCATACAGAAGACAAACCCGTGTACAAATGTTCTCAATGAACGCTAGTAGAAATAGATAAATCTATTTTAAACTAAAAAAAAATCCTCATCATCCCATAGTTAGACCAAAATAAATTTTTTATTTTTGTCGATAGACCAAAATAATTTTAGGTGTTAAATTATATTATCATAATTTTCCATTATATTTTAGTATATTGTAAATTAATATCAATTTTCCGTATATTAGTTATCAGTTTTGATTATTATCAACTTATAAATTTGAAGAAATTATGAGATCTACTGATTAAAGTAATTATTGTTTCTCTTTTTCACCTAAATTTTCTCTCTACTTTTTCATTATTTTTTTAGAAATAATTCTTCTTTTTTTGTCAAAGGAAAGAATCCTTTTTCATTGTTAGAATAATGAATTTTGAATTTGTACGCTCTTTAGGAGTAATGACATAATACTTTTTCTATGTTAAAATACGAGTTAATAATTTTAGAAAGAAACATAAAGATAGTACTCGTTTTTTTTTTCGGTTTGGGATTTTTCTATAGAATATCTCTATAAGTATCACTCATTCAACGATGGCGTCCAGTAAATAGCTTGAATCAAATGTGCATGCGAGCTATAATGTTGATTTTAAAATTGAAAAAATTACACTTGGGGTTTAAAAATGGCATTTTGAATTTATACCTTATTCAAGGACAGTATATGTTAACCACAGTCAACATGAGAACTGTATAATGTTGACATTGATTGTCGACTAACAAATTAACGTGTACGTATCTACCGAATACCCACTAATTTACTTATATATATATATATATTAGTAATATACTTATATATCTTAACTCTCGTATACATATGTTGGTATTTACTTATTTGCATTTTCTTACTGATAAATTTGATAAAATACTATTTTTTCATTCATATTTTCTGGGTCAATATATTTGCTTGGATAATGTGAGAGTTAAATGAAGGTAAAATATTAGAGAACCGAATGTTAATTTACAGGGGACAAGGTTATTATTTACTGAGTAAATAAGTCAACCTTCGAATAGCTATGCATATAAATAAATCCGAATGATACTATGTATAATATTTGGTGAGATGGTTGAAGTGACTATTCTAATGAGCAAATTGTTTTCCAAAAGATAAATTGTTC